ATTCCCCAGCCAGCCATGCTGGCTGGGGAATTCTGGGAGTTGAAATCCACACATCTTCAAGCGGCCAAGGTTGATAAATGCTGGTATAGAGCTACAAGGTGCCTATAGGTATATAATATATATTTATGTACGTATCCATATTTTTCTTACTGTTAGTTGTTCTTTTGTGATTGAAGTTTGAAAATTTTATTTGACTGCTATTTTAATATCTGAGAGCCAGTTTGGGATAACTGTTAAAGGTGCTCTACTGGAAGCCGTGAGACCATGAGTTCTAGTCCTGCCTTAGGCACGAAAGCCAACTGACTTTGGGCCAGTCTCTCTCTCTCAGCCCTAGGAAGAAGAAGGCAATGCAAGCCACTTCTGGAAAAGGTTGTCAAGAAAATAGCACAAACGTGCTTGTGTAGTTGCCAGGAGTCAAGACTGACTTGAAAGTACCCAAACACACAACTTAATATCTATCTGCCAACTGTCTAGATCAGTGTTTCTCAACCTTAGCATCTTTAAGATGAGGAGACTTCAACTCCGAAAAGGCTGGCTGGGGAATTCTGGGAGTTGAAGTCCTCTCATCTTAAAGTTGCCAAGGTTGAGAAACACTGATCTAGATAGTCGGCTATATAAGGACTGAGATGATAGAGAAACTGCGCAAATACAGGTAGTCCTCATTTAGCAACTGCCTCATTTAGTGACCATTTACAGTTATGATGGTGATGAAAAAGTAACTTTGTGACCAATCTTCACATTTACGACCTTCACAGGTCTGTAAAGCAAAGGGAAGCTGAAATAAGATCATAAGCACAGTAATGGTTTTACCTAGGGACTGCTTTGCTTAATGACTGAGTTGCCGGTCCCAATTGTGGTCGCTAAACGAGGACTCCCTGTAAAGAAATAAAGAAATGCGGTGCTTCTCCCCCCCCACCCTTGCCTCCATTCTTGTGTATCGCTGACTAGTTTTTCTTCAAGGCCAGGTAATTTGTAGCAAGAAGATATTGACATCAGGCAATGGGCTTTGGGATAAATCAAATGTTGGAAAGGACCCCTCAAATTCTGAAGAGAAAATGTAGTGCCAAGAGAACTAGATTTCTGCCTCAGTTTCTCATCTGGCAAATCTTGGTCGCTTGGATGTTTGGGCAAGGTTGGTCTGCCTCTGGGCCTCGAAGCAGGATGGGCTCCCAAGGCAGCAGGGCTGACTCATGCTATTTTGAAGAAGTTAAAGAGACTTTCCAAGAACCCCCTTTCCCAACGTACAGCAAGACCAGTTGGCTAAATTGCCACACGCCACAGATGAAAGTTCTTGTGTCACGGATGCAGAAGTAATGCTGGTTTACCCCTCTCTGTCCTTCCTTGATCAAAGCTGTGAATCCCCCACGGGGCAGTTGCTTCTTCCTCTTTATCCCAAAGCCTTTTAGGGAAGGGGTTACCCAAAGAAACCACACACCGGCTACCAGCTTGAGTAACTCTCTTTGGAAGTTGAAGCAGACCAAGATGAGCTGCCACCTGCCACCCACCCACCACCTGACACTCGAGTCATTCTCAGAGGATCTGCTCCTTTCAGCGTGTCCAGGTCCAAAAATTGAGGGAGGCATCTTTTATTTCGTTATTGGGCAACAGACCACCTCTTTAAGTCTGAAGACGGTGGCAGTTCTTCCTCCAGGACTCAGAAGATGCGGCGATCCAATCCTCAGCTCGCGAAGACACGGCTGCTACTTGCAGTCCTGCTCCAAGCAGGTAAAGCTAACATTTCTTTTCATTGGATATGGGATATTATTGCTAATATTTCATTTTAAAAAACCTGATAGGGCTCTTTAGAAGAATCCTAGCATTTTTTAAAAATCTGATCCCTGTCCTAAAAGCAGACGTTAGTCTAAGAATAAATACCAAAATCTCACCCTTCCTCCTGGCAATATTTATGTTTCCAGGCTAGAGATGTCCAGCTAAAAAATAAAAACCAAGAAAGCCACCAGGGAAATCAGAGTTGCTTTGGAGTCAAGAGGCACTAAAATCGATGTAAATAAATGCAAACAGAAGAGTGACTGTTTCAGTTGGTAAATTTGACCCAATTGTAGAGGCTATAGGAGATTCAGCTGTAGTAATACATGTAAAAAAGACTAAAATAAAATAAATACATGTAAAAAAGACTAAAAAATAGGAGATTCAGGTGTAGTAATACATGTAAAAAAGACTTAGGCTTCGCCACAAATCACAAATTTGACCATGAGGAAGCCGGGTGATGCAATTGCTTAAAAACCTAATCTTAGGTTACCCGAACAGAAAGGTGGTAAACATTTTATTTATTTTATTTATCATATTTATATAGCCGCCCATCTCACACAAGGTGACTCTGGGCGGCATACAACAATTAAAAAAAATAAATACATAAAAAACTGCATATGAAAAACAGTAAAAACACACAAAAACAGGAGGGGATAAAATGAATAAGGGAGCCATCGTAAAATCTCCCTGGTCCCCTGGGAACCCCAGGCCTGATCACATACCCAGGTCTTGAGGCACCTGTTTGGACTGTGAGAAGGGATTGTTCTGTTTTATTCCAGTGTGTCCAGCCCTTACCTGGACAATTTTGTCTCAGCCATGTGTTTGAGCCAACGCAACCCTTGTTCAAAGTCAATGAGTTGATTTAGGTAGCAAATTTGGGGCAACACATAAGCAGAGCAGATATTTAGTTCTTTAACGTGTGGTTATCGCAGTCTTCCTGACACAGAGGAGAGGTACTTGCAAGGGTGAATGCAGGCTATGGCCGAAAACGTCAAAATGGTGGCCATGATGATACAACTGAAGCTCCATGTGTTTTTTAACGTGCGATGCAGCCACCATCTTGACTTTTTTACTGTACTCTGCGGACACATCTGGGTGCTTGTTGGATTTTTGCTATCTTTGAATCCTTATGCTAGGAGTATTCAGGGTACGTGTGTGTGTGTGCAAAGTTAAGATTCAATGCACATTGAAAAGTGGGAAGGCTTTGATTGTGCAGGCAGGGCTGCCTTTGTGACTTTGCACACACACACACGCCTCCCACACACACTGCATGTGCCATGACATCAGTGAGAAAAAAGACTTTTTTTTTTTACTTCAGGCAGACAAATATATTGGAGAGGGTAGTTTGAGACGGTTTTTGCACAGCATGTGTAACGTTGTTCCTGAATTAGCCCACTTCTGGAGTTCTGGCAATGCACTGAATCATTAACTCACTGGGCTGGGTTCACACATCCAACCCTATCATGTTTGGGCTGCATCAATCTGAACAACTCTAGTGGGCAGCAAGACACCGAATATTTTAGTGATCATCTGGAGCAGTGTTTCTCAACCTTGGCAACTTTAAGATGTGTGGACTTCAACTCCCAGGATTCCTGAGATCCCATAGCTGGCTGGGGAAT